GGCCTGCCTGGCCCGCAGAGGCCTGGCCACTGCCCAGTACCTCTCCAGGCTCATGGCAGTCAGAAGGAAGATGCTGGCGTGCATGGTGAGGAGGTCCAGGCTGAGCAAAAGCCTGCAGCCCACGTCCCCGAAGAACCAGTCATGGGCAAAGTAGGTGCAGACCACAAAGGGGATGGTGGAGAGGTACAGGAGGTCAGCCAGAGCTAGGTTGATCACATAGACCCCCAAGGAGCCTGCTGAGTGGCCTGACACCCTGCCGGAGGCCACCAACAAGGTGTAGATGTTCCCCACCATCCCAGTGAGGCACATGACGAGCAGCACTGCACCCAGAGGCCCCGTGACCAGGCTGTCCCCTGCCAGGACGCTACTGTCATCACCCACACCACTGCTTTCCTCCAAGAAGCTGCCACCCTCAAGATCCTCTCCAGGTCTTGTGCTGATGAAGGAAGGGTCATAAGACATCTTTGGGTACACGAAGCAAGAGCAAGGCAGGCTGTCAGAGACCTGTTCCTTCCCCTGCCTTTCCCCCTTGCTATATGGGACACGTCTAGCCTTGACAGGAAAGCAACCGAGGGAAGGGAATATACAGGGTACTCCAGAGAAGTCTATTCCTCACCTCCAGCCGCCCAGTCCATTTTGTTGATCTTGTCCATCACAAGCACTGTCTGATGGTTTCCCTTAACCATCAAAGGGCTGACAAAAGGACACTGCCCTCGTCTTCAAGACCAGGAGGTGCAAAATAACCTCTGCCAGCCAGGAGGAAATGTCTCCGTTCTTCACCAGCTCCTCATTTCTTGTTTCTCCAGCGTTCACTGGGCCCACAGAAACCAGCAAACTCTGTGGGCAAGCAGATTTCTCCTCCCAAGTCTGTATCCTCTCAGCTCAGACAGACTGGAGAAGTGGGCTCTGCCCCCCTGAACTAACCCCTGGGGAGTTGTCTTACCCGCTGCACAGAGGAATGTGTCTGACTCAGAGCTTCACACACCGATGTGAATGCAGTCCCAGTTCATACCCGACTTGACTGCTAGCTGAAGAGCCTTACTGGCTGCCTCCTCTTTCTAGCATTCATGCTCTTTCTTCCCCCTTGTCTTCCTGCACCTTCCTCCTGTTCCCTTTTCCTTCTTGTACTTGTTTCCCTTTCTTTTTCCTATTTCCCCTTGCACTGCTGTCCTCATTTGAGAGGAGATAATTGAAAGACAAGAGTCCCTAATGTGTGGAAGCATCACACTGTGGCTTTAGACGGGAAACCAGAGACAAGTTGGTGCCACACTGTTCTGCTTGTCCCTTAGCCAAGCCAGGCTGTGAGGGCCTGTCCCCCACTCCCTTCCAAGGACATCAGGGCCCATAAGGTATAGACAATGGATGTAGCCCCGAGTTTGCAAGCAAGCCCCCAGATGGCTGGACATCTCACATTTCCTATGACCTGCTCTTGTTCCTCCCTGCTGGGAGCCTGTTGGGTAGGCACCATCGCCTTCTAGCGGGGCATCGCTGCATGGCATCTATGTACCCACATTTCCACGCTCAATGCTCCCTGCTCTTTTTTCACCCACATTCGGGCCTCATTCGTCTCAGGGAACACACACGGTGCTGCTTCTCACCTAGGAAGTCGATGCTCCCAACAGGTTCTGGTAGTTTCAGCACAGAGAGGGCTCCCCAGGGAACCAGAGGGGGACCATGACTTTGCCTATTTTGCTCTGATGGTAAGATCTGCAGTCCACATGCCCCAGGAAATGCAATGAATAGCCACAGCTATCTGCTCTGATTGTCTGCCCTTTTGTTTTTCCAAAAACCAACCTCATACCTTAGTAGTCAGCAGCTCAGCTAACTACTGTTAGCTTCCTAACTTCATTTAGGAAATTAAAATAAATTACAGTGGGATTTTAGAATTAATTTCTCTAGGAGCTAATTAAAATACTGGTTGCCTCATTAATTCCAGGTAGCTCCCCCTAACACACAAGATGCCTGCTCTCATACTACTGGTGTAAAGCTGCAGACACATCAGATACTACAGTCATCAGCAGAACTCAGCTGGTCCTTCCAGCATGTGAAACACAGCTCTGCCAGGAGAGCTTTAAGAGATGATCTTTAAGATATGAAGGTTGATTTAGTGGTTAGGGCTAACTGTTACTAGAAGGATACGAACATACAGACTTCCCTGTTACACTACTGCATAAAAACGTATGTATATGTGATATACAATATGAACATATGTAATGTATAAGGCAGAATGAAAATGCCAGGCCTTTGATGTAGAGAATGAGGGAATCTGTGTATTACTGTCTTTGGACATTGACCCCTAGTTCTAGTACAAACAACAGAGAGTCTGAACTCTGTATCAGACATGTCATAAGCCGCTCTCCGACGGACCCAACCTCTCTCCATTGGTTTGACTAGAGACTCAAATTTGACAGCTGAACTTCAGTGGCATGAATATCCCTCACAGTATCTTACCCAGGGCAGTATTCCACCTCCCATCACTTTTTGTTACATGCACACACACACATTATCCATATACACATATGTATACCCATATATTGTTTCTGAGCGTTCCTTTTCTCTGTAGCAAAGGAAGGTCTGAAGAAGCTTTCAAGCCCATACATGGCAGGATGAAACAGGCTACACATTTGGCTGTTAGATTACATCTTTTTAGTGACCTTTCTCAACTACAGCTCTGATCAAATATGTACAAATTTCACATCTCTGTCACCAGCAGAGAAGCTGTTTCTTGTAAAGGAACAGGCCCTCCTAGTCCAGAAGCCCCTGCAACTGACTGGGGTTTAACTCCAACCAGGCAACTGTTTTCTTAAGGTATGTGGTTGTCTGCAGTTTCATGCAGGAGTGATGCTAGGTCCCAAGTCCAACATAGCAAGTGCTAAGTTTTCAAGGTCCAACTGACAGGCAAGGCCTGCCAGCATCCAGATCACAGCAATTTAACAGTGACAGGTTGCACTGAGGATTCAGACTCTCAAAGTCTTGCACTTGAAAGGAAGCAGCTTAATCGGGTGCTCAAAGCTAAGTGGACCTTCTAGGGGGGAAAAAAGTGCTTCAAAGGGTGCTTCAAAAGCACTGTGTTTCTCTGATGTCGATCTCCTCTCCTGACAGCCCACCAACAGGACCAGGTAGAGTCAAGTCATAGTAAGTTCCTGCATGGCTTCCTAGGATTTAAACTTGAAGTAGGCTTCAACTGTAGTGAAGGGAAAAGGTGGTGCATTAGGGCAATACCCTAAACTGGAATGGCAGGAGGGGAAGGAAACAGCATCCAGGCACTTACTTGCATATTCTTGTGGTGTCATGGCCTGGTTGATGACACTAGTGAAGGCTGCGATCCAGTCCAGCTGGTCAGTCTCTGTCTCACAGGTGAAGAGGTATTCCCGGTCGGGGGTGACAATGGTGAGGCCATAGTGCCAAGAGAAGTTGCCCTGTGTCCCTGAAGGCAATCCCTTCTGGACGCTATATCCGTTCTCTCTGCTGCCCATGAACACCTCACCCTTAGCATTTTTTTTGAGAGGGATTTATGGACTCCCAGAAGAACCAGGGGATAATAGCAGTGCACCTAAGGACAGGAGAAGAGTGGGTGAGGACCAGGGATGGTGGTCAGGGGTGGTCAGAGAATTCAGAGAAGCAGGGAGGTGATGCTCACAGGCAGCAGCAGAAAGGAAAATATAATAGCATAGATATAGAAAGGTCTGAGAAAAGAAATGCTGCTCCATGTCATCCCCCATGTCACTCTCCTCCCCATCACCACTTTTAAACTGCTGCCCTCCCTGTTCCCATTGTTCACAGGCAGAGAAACGAGTACAGAAAGCATGCAACGAACTAAGTGGGATGGAAAGGGGAAGACCTAGAGCCCATTCAGAGCATCTGGGGAATCTGCAAGCCTGCCTTACTGCAGAGCAAAGACTGTGACCCTGCCCCCAGCACTGTCGCCTGCAGGTGCCAGAGGTTAGATCTCCCGCTCACCAAAGGGTCCTTGAAGTACATGAGCCTGCGGTGATCCAGCGTGAACCAGCGCTTCTTAAAAGCCTCTCTCTGCTGTGAAGGGAAGATGTGACATATGTAAGCGGACAGTGCCCTCTGCCGCGAGCAGTGCGAACGGATACCCAAAATTCATCCCAACCGCTTGAACCAAGCCCCTGCCTCAACAGCAACCTCCTCCTCACCCTTTCTGAGCTGAGTGGGGATCAGTATCGGGGTTTTCAGTCCCAACTGCTGTCCCCAACTCTTGGACTTCTGTGAAGAACCCCAGAGTTCAGACAGGAGAAATCTAGACGCTAAATACCTGTAAGGTCACGCACACACAGATACATGCAGAGAGATCTGTTGTTCTGGGAGAAGACAGGGACTCTGGCTTCATCTACTTTCACATGTGTCCTTCCCCTTCCTTTTATTGTCCCCTCCCTTGGTGCACACACACAGTTCCCACGGGTGTCTAAAGAGTCAGGGGGAATGGGGAAACAGCAGGAGAAAAACATTGAAGTAGGGAAGGTCAGCGGCTCTCGGGCAGGTCCCTGCTAGATTTTTTTTCCCCACAGCAGCTCACCTTGGGACCAGTCTTCTCCATGTATCCCTCCTTCAGGAAGTTTCTTGTCAGACGATTTTTTATCTGACAGAAAGGCAAGAGTAACATTCACTTAGCCACGTTTCTTTGTACCTCGTGTTCTAATGGTAACTAATGGGCTCTTTTATCACATTGCCGAGTTCCATCGGGAGACTCAACACCGCACTCTAGTGCTGCCTTACCTCATTATCACTGGCAATGGGAAATGCTACCTTCAGGTAATGGAACTGCACAGAGCGAATGGCGTTGAACCAGTCCACTACCTCCTGAGAACGGAAAAGGACAGGACAGAAGGCTTAGGCAGAGCAACAGTTAAGCCATCTAAATTCACCCAGCTACACCCAACCCCATGGCAACTACACAGGCCGCTCTCCCTTGCCAGCACCTACACCATCTCCCTCACACACAAACAGCCAGCACGGTGCCATAACCCACATCCACAGGCAGCAGCACAACTGCACATCTTCTCTGGAAGCTCCTTCCACACAAACCAACTCAGTGCTCTCTCACAGACATAGAGCTAGAGCCTCCACCCTGTTACCTACAGCAACATGCACACCCCATCCTACCCATGCTTCAGACTATTTAATACCTGCAGCTTCTCAAATCACCTCAATTGCTTTGCAATGCCTGATGCTAAAACCAAATACCTTTCCACTTTCATGGTAGACAAATATATTCCGGGTCTTGTTGTCTTTGAGATAGGTGATCTGCAGGCCATTGGGGTTCCCAATCTTCACTGGCTGGAACGTGGCATTGATGACATCTATTTTAACATTGATTTTAGGTTCTTTGGCCTGAAATAAGAAAGGCATTGGTCATGCATAAGCAATCCTAGTGGGAAAGAGACTTCGTGGGGTAAGAGAGGGTCAGTGGGTATTAAAGGTAATAACTGCCTCTGCCCAACAAAACTGTTGTAGCACACACTCCCTTGTGTGTGCTCAAGCTCAAAAAGTGGACACACACATGCCATTTTACATTTGACCTGTGCCTAATCTGGAACTGCCAATAGAATACTGAGAATGCATCTGACTTTACAGCTGAGCCAATCTAAAGGCTAACTGACCTCAAAAGGAAAGAGCCCACTCCTAGAATCACACAAACATAGAATGGTTTGAGTTGGAAGGGACATTAAAAGCCATTTAGTCCAACTCTCACACAATGAGCAGGGACATTTTCAACTAGACCAGGCTGCTCAGAGTTCTGTCCAACCTGACCTTGTATGTTTCCAGGGGTGGGGTATCTACCACCTCTCTGGGAAACCTGTTCCAATGTTTCACCACCCTCATTGTAAAAATTTTTTTCTTACATCCAGCCTGAATCTCCCCTCTTGTAGTTTAAAACCATCACCCCTTGTCCTATCACTACAGGCCCTGCTAAAAAGATGTCCCCGCCTTTCCTATATGCCTCTTTTTAAGTACTGAAAAGCCACAATAAGGTCTCCCCAGAGCTTTCTCTTCTCCAGGATGAACAACCCAAGCTCTCTCAGCCTGTTTTCATAGCAGAGGTACTCCCGCCCTCTGATCATTTTTATGGACCTTCTCTGGACCCACCCTCACACGTTCATGTCTTTCCCATACTGCGGGCTCTAGAGCTGAATGCAGTTCTCCAGGTGGGGTCTCACAAGAGCAGAGCGGCAGGATCCCCTCCTTTGATCCGCTGGCCATACTTCTTTTGATGCAGCCCAGGATATGTTTGTTTTCTGGGCTGCAAGTGCACATTGCCAGCTCATGTCCAGCTTTTCATCCACCAGTACCCCCACATCCTTCTCCACAGGGCTTCTCTCAATCCCTTCTTCCTCTAGCTGGCACTGATACCAGGGGTTGCCCTGACCCAGGTGCAGGACCTTGCATTTGGCCTTGAAGAACCTCATGGGCCCACTTTTTGAGTTTGTTTAGGTCCCTCTGGATGGCATCTCCCGCTCCTCCCCTACCCCAAGCCATTCCCTCCCTTCTGATAGTATATTAGCACTTGCTCCATTCATTTCAGGGAGATGAATGAACACAAAAGTAGCCCACCTCAAAACAAACCAAACAGGCTTTTGCCAACTTGGCTCACAGTGGGGTGAGGCTGGTTCTATGGATGATGCAGGATTACACAGCCAGGCAAATAGATAGGGGCAAAGTGAAAGACCAATCCTTTTATTAGCAATGACAGAAGGGTGTAGTGAAGCACAAAGGATGAGCATGGGGAAAGGTCACCCTGACAGTAGGAAGGAGACCCTTCTCAGTGATATGTTTCTGTCATCATCCCTGGGCTGGGATGAGCAAGACAACCTCAGAAATAGATGAAATAGAAACATCTCTGTGCCCCCACTGCCCTGAGTGGAGTACGCACTGGGTTGGGAGTTGACCACCATACTCACATCCTGCTTCGCAAAATACTTCAGACATCCCTCTCTCTCAGACAAGAGGAACTTGCGGGGTAGGAACTGCCCATTGTCTCGACCTCGCTTCCAGAGGATGCCTTCCTTCACCCCTAGGAGCAGAAAGGCCACTTTTAAAAGCATCCTCTCACAGGCATGGTAGGCATCAGAGAGCTGCATGAAGCCTGGGGTCCCAGCCACATCTCTGGGATAAAGCACATAGAATCATAGAATGATTTGCATTGAAAAGGACTTTAAAGATCATGTAGTTCCCCCCCCCTGCTATAGGCAGGGACCCCTTCTACTAGCCCAGGTTGCTCCAAGCCCCTGTGTCCAACCTGGCCTTGAACACTTCCAGGAATGGGACAGTCACAGCTTCTCTGGGCACCCTGTGCCAGTGTCTCACCACCCTCATAGTGAAGAATTTCTTCCTAATACCTAATCTAAATCTACCCTCTTTCAGTTTAAAACAATTCTCCCTTGTCCTAGCACTACATGTCCTTGTAAGATGTCCCTCTCCAGATTTCTTGTTGTCCCCTTTAGGTACTGGAAGGCTGCTATAAGATCTCCCCAGAGCCTTCTCTTCTCCAGAACAAGACAAACTCTCTCAGCCTGTCTTCACAGGAGAGGTGCTCCGCCTTCTGATCATCTTCATGGCCCTCCTCTGGACTCACTCGACCAGGTCCACATCCTTCTTGTGTTGGGAGCCCCAGAGCTGAACACAGCATGAACATGATGAACTATTGCTAAGAACATCTGAAAAGGAGAGGTCTCATCTCTGACTTACAGCTGAAGATGGTGGTTGTTTCTGAGTTTGCAGCCCAGAAAAACAGTCAGCAAAAGACATACCTAGATGCTTCCCACCTCTTAGTCTGGCTCCCACTACTGTCTCTAACAGCATGAGAGCCATCTCCTCTGTGAACATGAATCCTGGACCACACAGACCCTGGTGTAGGACCAGAATTCTTCCCACCTGACTCTACAGCCCCTTGGGTTCCAGCACCTTGTGTAACAGCACTGGCAGTGACATTTCAAAGACAATTGCCATGGTTGGAGAGGGTGGTTTGCAGCAAGACAGAAATTCCTTTTGTAGAGGTCTGGCTCCAACAGGACAGCAAATGCCTTTGAAAAAGCATGGAAGCAAGTCATGGCAATGCCAACCTAAATGGGCTACAATTTAACCCCCCCTCCAAAAACCACAATGCCCTATAAATACAGGCTGGGTTCTCAGGCATACTTGTGGAATTTGCAACACTGACACTATAATCTTTCTTCTCGTGGTGCTTAAAAGCTTCCAGCAAAGGCAACAGGCAGGATATTTTGATGCAGTGCTCTGCTCTTACCATCAGAATATGGCAGCTGTTTTCCTGGCTCAGTGAACTCTCTGCGTTCATATTTGGCCCGTATCCACTGTTCTCTCAGCACTCTAGGGAGAGAGGTGACAGGTAGTTCAGAAACACTAGAGGAACCCAGAACTGCTATTCCCCCTTTTCTTCGATGCAGCAACTTACTGGCAGTCATTGTAGGTTGGCTGGTAATAGTAAATAGGGATGTGAGCTTCATATATGGCTTTAGTCACAGCATTCCCATGCTTGGCCAGAAACTGCAGAATTAGACAGAGAATTAGTGCCTTCCCTTTGATGCTGACTAATGTTGGGCGTTTTTCTTTCCTGATCCACTACAGGGCTAGATGCACATCAAGCTCTAACGGAGCGTTCTCTTTCCCCTGCATTGCGACATCCCAGTAACGTCTGGCTCCATAAAGGTGGATCTCAAAGGTCTTGTCTACTTTTAGAAGCTACATTGATTGCACCTGAACCAACAGAATGCCATAAATGTCACTTCCGTGGGGCCGGCTGCACACACATTCAGTGGATTTGCTGCCATGCCCCACATCTCTGGGGACACTGCATTCAGCAGCTCAGCAATGCCATCTGGGGGCACACTCCAAACCTCTTTGCTTCTCTACAAAGAGCAGCAAGATACAGATTATTTTCTTTGGATCTCCAGAAAATTTTTTCAGTCCCCTGAAGATTAATGGGTTAAGGGAGGTGTAACAGGGAGAAGTAAAGTTCCCACAAATGCCATTTTTCTCAAGAGATCACATTATATCCAGAATCTCTTCTTGGAGCATGGAATTGCCCAAAATTTTCCTCTCAGACTGCTGAAACCAAGAGGAGACATTGAGGCTGGATGGTTCTGGTGAGTGGGAAATGAGTAATCTGGAGCAACAAAGACCCTGAGCCTTGGCAAGATATATTGCAGGAGCTCTGCATTTGCCATAAAGTAACAGGACATGGGGAGACACATAAGGCAAATGCATCCTGCCTCTCCCAGTGGGCTACAGGGAGTTACCCCTGCAGCAGTATCCAGAGCATGAGTAGCAAAGGGACATACTACATCAGATTAAATCTTCAACTCTGTGTGGTCAAAGGACTGACTTTCCCAGGACAGTCAATGTACCACCTAAACCCAACCCACCTTGCGTACCAGTGGGGATAAAGATCTCACCTGCACCTGAGCATCATCCCAGTGGTCCATCTTCAGGGACTTGACTTTGCTGATGCTAGGGATGTTGCGGTGAATTCCTGAACAGCTGAGGCATATAAAAACACCCAGAGTAGAGGATGCCCAGTCAGGATCTGAGGGTATATAAAAGGGTATGACTAGAAGTGGTAAAATCCCCTGGGATGTATACCTCAGCTGAGAATGTAGTCCTGAGAAACAGAGAGCTGGCTGATCAGAGTTTCATCTGAACCAGTTAAATAACACCTGAAGTATATATGTTGGTTAGGAAAAAGCACAGCTACTGTAGTCCCTCATTCCTCCCTGCTTCAACCACTTCTTCTGAATCTCTATTAACCTGAACCTTGAAAAACTTAAAGTTCTCTGCAAATTCCCTTTGCATAAAGAGTCACCCACGACGAAAATGAAACCACACTCCAGGAGTTTAGTGCAACACAGCAACCCACAACGGTATTTAGTTCCAGAAGTGGAAAGCAGCCTTGAATCCAAAATTTTCCTGGAAGAATTTAAAAAGGTGAAATGATACTAATTAGCCCAGTCTTAATTTGGCTTGGATGGTACACTCCATGTGTCCCTTTTGGGAAGAGTATGATGAGTGTTTTTAACAGCACCTGTAGGACCTCAAACTAGGTACCCTTTGAAGAGAACAAGCCCTTCAGGAAAAGAAACCTCCAAAGGCGCCTGTAGCAGGTTGTCAGCTCCGAGCTGAGTCTCGGAGGAGACAATGCCGTCCTGAATCACACCTCTGTGGAGCAGTTAGGATTTCACTGAGAGCTTTCCTGTCAGGTCCTGACTGGGCGTGACCTTGATTGGTGTTGGAGATCTGACATGACCACAGCCCACCGTGCCGCAGCTACACAGCCCCTGCTCATCGGGCACTACCACAGCCCCGTCTTTCTTCCCACCGGTGCTGTGGCAGCATCTCCTTCCTCCTCCCTTGCCACTCACCTCCAGGGAGAAGAAGCAACTATTCAGATCGATGCCTCTCCTTCTCCTCCACCCCAGGCTCCTGTGCAATCCAGCACCAAAGAGCTGTTAGAGACCAGCCCCAGCTTCCAACTCTTCCTCCAGCAGCCCTTGGGGACTCACCTGGCTTCCCACAGTCTGCACATAAAGAGTTTTCTGCTCTTCTCCACACCTCCCTCAGGGCCTTCACACTCCGCTCGTGTCCTCCAGCCATCATGTCCCAGTGCTACCCCTCCAGGCAGGGCAGGGCAGGGCCAGGAGGGCAGCTTTCACCCTCCGCACTTGCAGGCCACCCCAAGGGAGAAGAAGCCACCAGAGATACAGCAGCGCTGGGAGACAGCGGGAAAAGGGGAAGGCAGAAGAAGCCGTAAGGTGAATGGTAGGAGCGCGGAGGCCTGAGCAGCGCACCTGAGCCGGCTGAGCACAGGCAGGGGGAAAGAGGCTGAAGTGCACCCAGGCTGTGGGTGAGGAGGAGGAGGAGGAGACCTGCCCCTTGGGCGTGGAGGGAAGTGCAGCAATTAACCACAGAACTGGTTTTTCCGCATTTCTTCTGGTAAACGGACAGGCCAGGAAGAGCGCACAGCAGCAAGCAAGTTGATAAAGGCGAGGCGGCTGCAGACAGCGGCCACCAGCCCTGTCAGGACTTGTGTCAGGGCTCATCACGCTCTGTGAGATGGGGGTGGTGGCTTTGGCTGGTCTTGCAGCACTTCAGGAGCTTCCACCAAAGTCAAGTGGCCACCACGCAGGCATTACACCCATTCCTAAGGCAAGGACTTGGAGGGCAAGGAAGGTTCAAGAGTACAGCCAAAGTCACTCAAGCCAGCAGCCAAGAGCATGGCAGCGCCGATGCCCCCTCCCATCTCCAGCCAGCGTCTCTCTCACTACGGAAACCAAGGCTGTTGAGCCAGGTCCTGCACCTTGGAGACTCAGCAAGAGCCAAGACCCATCCCTGCAATTGCCTTTGTGGGCTAAGAGGAGCAGCCATTAAAACCAAACAATAGCTTGAAATAAACTCTTGGACCTTTACTGAAGAAATGCAGATGTTAAACATTGGGAGGAACAACGTTTATTAAAACGATGGAGATGTACAACACTCCGAGCAGCAGAACACATCTCAGGGTGAGAGACAGGCACATGGCAGTCCCGCAAAAGCCTTCTGTTGGGGGCAGCTGGAGAGGAGAGGTAGCTGGAGGCACCCAAACCTGAAGGAACCCCACATCCACACCAGGGATGGGGACAGGCACCTGCCAGGTGGCTTCTCTCTCCCACCGCAGCCTGGGGGTTGGACACGCAGCTGGGATCAGGCGAGGGGACACACAAAGTCCCCCACACAAAGTCCCACACACCAGTGGGACAAGAGGACCCGGCGCCGGCCCCACTCTGCTCTTTCAAGCTGAGAGAGCCTCCCGCTGGGGC